TATTTGAGTCCAACAATATACCTTTCCAAAATATTATAGGATTTGGTTCTGATGGTTGTAACACTATGTTTGGTGCCAATAACTCAGTAGTAAGTAGGTCACAAAATTTTACGTTCTTCACAAACTAGGTGGCTTTCATTACTTATGGTAGTGGAAAGGATAATTGAGCAATGGAATCCCCTTCAATTACATTTTGTTAAAGAATGGACCGAACATAGACTGCAAGCTTCAGAAGTTGTTGCCAATAGACTTAATGATATGGAAACAAAACTTTTTTTCTTTTTTCTTCATTGGATTTTACCAAAATTTGTAAAATTAAATGAATACTTTCAAAGTGAGCGTGTCATAATTGCACACGTTTATGATGTAGTTTGTGAAACTTATAAAGAAATTTGTTTAAGCTATTTACAACCAAATTATATTCATAAAACCGAAATAGGTAAAATCGATCCCAACGATGCCAGTCAGTTCATTGACTTGAAACAGATATACCTTTTTGTTCGCGTACTTCAGAACATTGATAAATTAAGTCAAAAGGAAAAAGAAGATTTCTACATGCGGTGCCGTCAATTTTTAATAACTTCTGCAAATGAAATGAAAAAACGGTTTGATTTTAATGAAAATATTTTGTCAAAAATATCAGTATTTGAAAAAGGGTATTCTAAACCAAAACCAGCATCGCTTTTTCCATTAATTAAGTTACTACCCAGAATTGTAGATCCTCAAGATATTGAACAAATACAAAAAATTGATGATCAGTGGCGGATGTATTGCCACTCAGAACCAAATTTCAGTGATGAAATAAAGGATGAAACATCAATCGATAAATACTGGTACAAAATCTCCCAAATTCACGACATGTCTGATGTTTACGTATTTAAAGAATTGGGAAATTTTGTATTAGATTTATTAGTAATTCCTCATTCAAATGCCGGATGCGAAAGAATGTTTTCAAAAGTAAATTTAATCAAAACAGATGTCCGTAATCGCTTGTACAGTGATACAGTAAATTCACTTTTATTGGCATCTCAAAGTGTAAATCGTGAATGTTATAAAATTAATGTTACTCAAAATATGATTAATAGAATAACGTCCTATAAACATGTCGCTCAAGATGAAAATGAAACTGTTGATATTCATTTTGAACCTGAATAATGTTTTTTATGTTTTCGAGTTAGGTATATCTTGTAGTACTTTTCGAGAGTTTGTTTGATTTTCCCAAATGTTCCATTTTTTATGAGATTTTTACATTAAAGAACCTATATTAATTATGTGTATTTTTTGTCTTAAAGGAACCCTATTTGTAACATAATTTTGAAGAAAAATTGATAATTCTGGCAAAATCGTACCATAATTCCTTTACTGGCCGGTGGCATCACTGCGTCGCAAGTGTGCATGTGTGTTGCGACATCGAGCCAAAATGTCTCGCTGGGGAGATGAAAAGACGTTTAAATTTGTAAATCTTTACCGGAGCCATGATTGCCTTTGGAATCCAAAGCTACCGGATTACAAAAACAATATTTCAAGAAATAATGCGTATAAAGATTTGATAATAAACATGAATGACCCTACTCTAACTGTTAAAATTATAAAAACCAAAATTAAAAATTTGAGGTCTGTTTACCACTCAGAAGTGAAAAAAATTAACAGTTCGAAGCGATCCGGATCTGGTGCCGCAACAGTATATAGTCCATCCCTGCCATGGTTTAAAGAAATGCACTCTTTCCTTGGAGACACAGGTGATTACCGGGAAACTATTGAAACAGCAGTGGTAAGTTTTTATACTTTTACTATTATATCGCCTTGAGTTTTGTTTAGAACATAATATATACTATAAGTACAGGTTGTTTATATCATATGGTCTTGCCATGGTACCGCTTCTGTAGTTTCAAAAAGTTGTGCATAAGCGTTTCTTATTGCTTCTGCCTTTCGAGAGGCATGGTTACTATGACGCGCAGGTGGTAGGCTTCCCATAGCTGTACGCAGTTGTGTCCTCCATGCTCCTGGTACAACAACACGTTGTTGTACATTTTCAAAATCGACGCATCTGTGAGTGATGTACATATCGGATGTTTTTGGCAGCCAATTATGTAACGAGCAAGCAGCCAATACAATACTATCAACATTTTTTGGTCTCATATCTATAGTGTTCAGAAGAACTCGAAATCTTGTGACTAAAATACCAAACGCATTTTCTACAATTCGTCTAGCCCTCGACAAACGGTAGTTAAACACTTGTTCTTTATGCGTTGGTGTTCGTGGGTAGGGCTTCATTAGATAAGTCTTTAAAGGAAAAGCCGCGTCTGCCACAATTATCGATCGCTCTGGTAAATTAAGAGTATTATTTTCTAAAGCTTGTGCCAACTTTGATGGTTGAAAAAACACCGCCGTCAGAAGCTCTCCCATTAGTTCCAACATTTACATATGAAAAACAGTAATTATCGTCAACTAATGCGAGAAGTATAGTGCTGTGGGCACCCTTATAATTGTAATAATCGGAAGTATCATCAGGAGCACGTATATTTATGTGTTTGCCGTCCAGCGCCCCAATACATTCTGGAAAGTTCCATTTAGTTTGAAATCCACGCTCAATACGCTTCCATTCTTCATGGCACGGAATCTGTATAAAAGAAAACAAAATCTCTATATCCAATAGTATACAGTAGAATTATTATTATCTAATATTTATTATTATTAATCTTTTTTACAGGACACAGATGAGTCATCGCAGGATTCTCGACCAACTAGTGCTAATTCGAACTCTAACCCCTTGTCACCGCCATCAGTCAGCACCGTAATGTCGCCACCCTCGACTACTGACATTGCGGAAGAAGGAACACCATCCCGTTCATCTAAGGACACACCAGCACGGCGTAAAAGAAGGAGCATACAAGAAGAGCCGATCACTTCTGCTCTAAATCGTTTAGAAAATATAACTTCGTCTATAAACAGACAAGCAGAATATGATGAATTTCATTTTTTTGGTTTGAATATTGCTGCCCAATTGCGAGCCCAACCATTAGATGATGCACTAAACGTGCAAACTCAGATTCAGACAATTATAGCTGCGGCTAGACGTCGACATCTGTACCCAAACTTGTCTACATACTCCACTTCACCCATACAAATAATAAATTCCACACCTACTTTTACAAATTATTCAAACTAACAACAGCCAAACCGAAGCAGAAGACGCTTTAAGCAGAGCATGGAGATTTTCTTAAAGTATGTACTTACCAGATAATATGTTTCATTTGAAATAATATCAGTGTTCTACTTACCCGCATATAATCCTTCAAAGCCCTGTATATTGCATCACAAACTTCTGGTATAAATTGAGCTATGGTAGATCTCGCAACCCTGTGAAGTGCTTCTAATGTGTACATGGAATCTCCAGCTGCAAGGTATCTCAGTGTAACTTCCAATTTGATTTTAGCTGGAATAGCATTTCGCATATGTGTATCTTGTTTTTGTATAGCATTTTCAATTTTAGAGAGTAACTCGTCAAACTGATGCGGAAGCATACGTGAATGATTTTGATAACCCTCACTATCTTCTGCTCGCATTTCGACCAACAAACGAGTACTGGCTCCAAGATTTTCTCTTCTATTTATCCAATCACGGACCCAAATCGTCCTATTCCTTCTTTTTTTTCTTTTTTGTTAAAAGTATATTGCGTATGCATTGCACTGCAAGTAATATGATGGTTTCGTTCACTTGTGTGCGGATAGCCAGGTCGTGTTCCATGTTTTCCACCACACTACACTGACAGATGCCACCAAATGGTACGTGTAGGTAGAGTGTTTGTTTTAAGCATGCTTCTGCAGGAGCATGCCTGAAACGAGCATGCTTATGCACATGTATACAGTTAAAAGAGCATTCTCGTTTGAAGCATGCTCACAGGCATGCTTTTTTATAGCATGTCTATCTGTACCTTTACGTAACAGAATGCGGGCGTGTATTCGTAACAGGGGATTACAATTTGAGCAGAATCTGTAAAATACTAAAGGAAATGTAATTAAATAAAACTGTAATTAAAATAAAAGCCTTTTGTTTATCCTACGTAATTATCGTTCGTACAACTTCACTCATCTTTTTTTAATTTTATGTCTTTGTACTTGAGTTAGTTGTAACTTTTATACCTCAAATGAAAGCTTGTAAGATAGAGATATTATTTACATAATTTGCACATTTCATTACTAGGAGATTTTTTATAGAAAATTGCATTTTTTATCGAATAAGTTAGTAAAAAAATAAGAAAATCATACATTTCAAAAGCGTAATTTTAAAACTTTTGTAAGTTTTCAACATTTTATTACTTATTATGAACTATTGGAATGTCCGCTATGCGACGATAACAAAAAACTCAAAATCAAACATGTAGTTTTTTTGTATTTCAAATTTAACCGTCTGAAATCGGAATAAAAAATAAAAAAAATAAAATTCAAATAACTCAAAAACAGTTAACTTCTGGATAGGTCATTATAGGACAAAATCGGTTGCTGTAGTTTTATTATTGCCCTCAAAGAATTTAATAAACACAGTTTTGTACAGCAACAGTGAGCCTCTCTGATTATCAATAAAATGGTCGGTAATGGCGTCACGTCAATCTATTGTATCAGGTTTGATCCAATCCCATAAGCCACAAATCCTTTTTGATTGACGCAATTTGCATCGACTTTTGTGTCCGGACACAAATAAAATTTGGTCTTTGTAGCTAAGCATTTTTGTTTTAATATGGGATTTTGGGGCCCGTCTTACCCAAGTAGAATAATTTTTCGTTAGTTTGAGAGACATCAAGAAATCGACCAGATTCATTAGATCCATAACTTTGCTACATAGGCCTAAATTTTGATTTTCGCCTGGCGTTGCAGGGGCGCACCTCCGAAACGAGTAATATTTCGACAACCATTAAAGAACAAAATAGCTTTAACATAGTCCAAGAAATCAGCCTTTTGAATTTCACCGCATATTTTAGAGGCATCCTGTATAATTTCCAGGTCTTCCCAAGTTAATCTGCTTGTCACACGAAAACATCTTCGTTCAAACCGTCACGTTCCTGGAGTTACTAGGCCAACCAGAAAAGGTGATTTCATTCTTCCCGATATCCTGGTTCTTACAGATGATCCTCGTCTGTGTCACTCTCGAAAGACCGGTTACCAGAATAATTCCAACAACGTTCACAGAAAGAAACGCATGTAAAATCATACACGATTTCAGCATAAAGCATGCTATTTTAGGCACAGATTATGCGATGAAGATGGCTAACAGTCCAGCTGTCAAGGTAGGTATATTTGCTCTCTCCAAGTTATCAATTGACAAAACATATGCTGATTGCTCGTGATTGCTCGTCCTGTCGTTTGTTTGGGCATTTTTATTAATTTGTGACAATTTTATGTAGACCTGTAAAGATATAAATAATTCTTCTATAATTTATTCTCTTAATTGGTGGAACACGAAATTTGTTTCATTGGCATCGAAGGCTAGCAATTGCTGCGTATTTACTTTTAAAGAAAAAAAATTATTGATCGACACTTATGAAAACTTTAAGTACAGAAGACAGCAAGAAATGAGATTTACAGATGAAAAGAAGAAATAATACAAACTACACTGAGAAATCGTGGACAATTAAACATTGTTCTGGTAAATTTTGATTACCTGTAATAAATTTTTCAATTAGACTAAGTAATTGTATTATTCGGTTTAAGTAAACTGAATTTGCTGGAACCAGTTAATATACTATTACACTAATAGCAGACAGAACTCGGCTCTTCATTCGTGAATGATGAAATATTCAAACATAAGGCGCTTAGTAACCCATAATCATGGTTCTGGATCCAAATGAAACACTATGTATTGGGAAATCACTGCTGACGTGACCAAATCGAAATTTTGTTTGATATATATAGTACGAGCATATTGCAGTATTTGAAAATATCCTAGTTTGTTTAAAGGGCCGTCAAATTTATTAAGTAAATGCAAGGAATTGACCTTGGGTTTTAGGTATCCTTTTCCTACTTTCTGAATTTAAAACAAAGAATTGCTTCTAGTGAACGGTTTCTGGACAAACGACAAATAGTCGATAAAACTTGATCCCATTATATAATAAGTTCACAATGGAAATGAAAAGTATCGAATTTTGTTAGGGTTATAAGGTTCGGGAAGTTTTTATTCTGAACCATCAATATCAAGTTCTAATTTTTTTTCAAATCTAAGATATGCCAGAGCACAGTTAGAATATACAGCATTCGGTAAAATGCAATTTTTATACAAATATCCTTTTAAATCTAAATAAAATAATTTATTAGGACTAGACAAACACTTTTATCTGGACTAATTAAACAAATTTAATAAATATACTAAAATAGTTTTACATGGAGCAGGTAAACTCATTTTACTAGTCCATTAATTTTAAATAAATTAGTGTAATCAATCTAAGTAAGCAGTTTGATAGATTTAACTTAATTTAACGATTGCGTTTTGGTTTAATTAATCTAGTTTCATAGAGTCAAGTAAACTGTTTTAGAAATCGTAGTTTCATTAAACCAATTAAACTTGTTAATGGGCCTGATTAAAATTTTAATTGATTTGCTTCATTTGTTTTTCAGTGTATAGATGCAATAAGATTTCTTGAAAATCATGAGTCATAGAAAAAATCTTGAATTGAGGTTTGAATGGAATTGATAATTATTAATACAAGGTCTGCCAAGGACGAAAAAGTAGTTCCTAGCGTATATAAATGGCTGCATTAAGTGTATATTCAATTTATGGGATGCATGATTGCAAAACTATACAATTTCATAGGGATATAGACACCACTAGGGCAAGTGAAGCAAATCTTAAATTGAGAATTTTGAATAATCTATAGATTTACTTAGCAAAGTTACAAGTGGCACACTCCCTGCAGTCGCATGCATACCATATACTTTGTGTTTTGAATTCTTTATTTAAATTTGCGAGCTTACCGTATATTCCAAGTTTTGACAAAATCAACACAGTTGATACTGAGAAAACGCAATGACAAAGAGGACAGCACGACCGTTGGAAAAACGTCAATCAGTGGCATGGGAGCTAAAAAGTAAAGTCGCAATATTTTTGAACACATGATATCCATCGTCTGTTGTGTATGCCATAAAAATAATAATGACCTGAATCACCTTGTATAAATACAATTACTCGATGCCATTGCAAACATCAGTACCCCGTATAAAGCTATAAAAAAGTGCGAGACGTCTTCCCGAGAGGCAACTAAAAAGTGATACGAATTCTATGAAAAATATCGCCATATTTAGAAGTTCAAAGATGTTTTTCGAGTACCCTTCCACTGGTAACTCTGCATTCTTTGGCAAAGTATACTAGATCACGTATGAAAAAAAAAACGCCAATAGATAGACAATACCGGCATATTGACCGGTACATCAGTAAACTATAATTGTTTAGCTTTTTAGAAGAATGTAATTGTAGCAATCATGCTAAATAAATCTTAAACAACAAAAAGTCACATTCTGTTTTCTTTTACTCTACAGGATTACAACCTGAACTGTCTCAGAGTCGTAATGATAGGGACGGTGAACACAATGAAGCATGACGTACAGACATTAAGACAACTTATGCCCCACGTAAAGTTCCTTCAGTGCTACTGCCTTACAGAAACCGGTTGCATAGCTGCTACTAGGGCCGATAGCTACAGTAAGAGCATAATAAAGCCTCAGACTGCTATTGGTCCTCTTACCATGAACTGTCGGATCAGGATCGTTGATCCAGAAACTAGAAAAGGGGTGGGGCAAAACTGTTATGGAGAGTTATTGTATACTGGAGATGGATTCATGTTAGGGTGAGTAGTACTATTTTACGTCAATCTTGACATGCAGATAGCATCATTTCTTGAACGCTACTCACAGACAGCGCCATGGACCTGAGCTAGAAGCAGAACATTCTCCGAGAGGAATGTTTTGCTCTCTGCTAACCCTGGACAGATCAAAGCATATCAGCAGAATTTCTTCAACTTTTTTAGAGCATCCACTGATCTGCAAGATTCTATTGTTTTATTAGAAAGCATTGTAATCGTGAAAAATTTCGAAAGTGAGAGATAGTGTTTTTTTATATGTTACATCACAGATAACTGTCATTCATTTCCGTCTCTCTATCTGTCGGTCTGTCAATAATCCTTGACTGCACTGTAACTTGAGCAAGTGCCACTGGGCTTTGATGAAATTTTGAAACAAGGTTACTACCGTGCCAAAGACAATAAAGCTTTGTTGCTTTGAAATCTTATCCAACCAAACAAAATTAAAATCGCTGAAATTTGGGTTGCCGACGCTTCAAAAAAAAATTTTGAGGGGCTCAAAAGTTACGCGTTGTAGTTGTAGAGAATGGCGGATTGTAAATGTTCCATCTTTGGTATCAGTGAAGGACGTCCTATTATTAAGATGCTACAGATCACGGTTTAACACTATGCACGTGTAAGATATAAATTCCTCAAAACTATTTGATTGACAGAAGTCAAAAAACCAAAAATGGATCTACATTATCAAGATGAAAAAATATTTCGGTTGGTATACCACAATCTTTTAAACTAGGTCCACTACTATTTATTTTATACAACTCAAATATCTTTCTTCAACAAAAACGTTTTTAAAAAGATTTATTTTTGAGAAAAACCAAATACGATGATGTTAATTGAATGAGTTCTGAATCGAGACTGACTGCAAAGTGCATTATACAAACCAAAGTAAAGAACAAATGAAATGCAATACTGAAACTGATAAGAAAGGAACGTGGAGGCAAAAGTCCTTGTTCAGCATCTTCTTCTCTATAGACTGGTACATAACTTACATTAATGACATTTGTAATATTTTAGATTAGTTTAAAATTTTAATATACATATCAGATGAAAATATAGACACTGCGTTAAAAATGCTAAAATCTGACTTGGCAAAAATCGTAAATGTAAATAAACTAAAATTGAATACTTCTAAAACAAATTGTATGCTAATAGGTAAATAACTTAATGAAAATACTATCACAGTTAGAAGAATGGTGAAATAATCTTTGATGAGCACTTAACTTTTCATGATCATATTTCTAAGGTTGTACAGAGCTCTTTTGCTAAACTAAAAAGCATCTACAGCTTTAAGCACGTGTTGTCTCAAGATACTAAAATTAAGCTTTGCGATTCACTCATTTTAAGTAAGTTAGAATATGGAAGTTCCGTGTTTGGTCCTTGTTTGACTGAAGCCGAAGCTTACAGACTTCAGAAAGTGCAGAACAGCTGTATTAGATATTCTGTTGGAATCCGAAGAAGGGAGCGAGTGTCTCCATTTATTCAAGAAGTGAATTGGTTGACGATGAGGCAGAGGTGGTCGGTTCACATATTATGTGGTTGGTTCATAGCATTTTATTGACCAAATACCCTATATACTTAAATAATAAGTTATCCTTGAGAAGTCAGCATCATGCAGCCAACCTCCGTTTCGTGGGTTACACCCTTAACACGCCCCATCATAGAACCACCCTATTTACTAAGAGTTTCTCTTTTGTTGCACCCAATCGCTATAATATGCTCCCTGTCAGCTTAAAAGTTTTATCTGTTCCACTTTTTAGGTCAAAAGTAAAAAAAATTGTTTTTGAAAATATGTCATAATATGTGAATATACGTATATATGATTTTTTCTTTAAATTAAAAAAATGCCTATTTTTGGCATAATAGATTTTTCATTATTGTCACTCAACAATGTTTATGTCTCCCAGATTTTGTATTATAATTTTGTTTGGCCCTGGTTGGTATGAAAAACAGCTTTTAGCTGACACCCGCCAGGTTAAATAAAGGCTATTATTATTATTATTATTATTATTATTATTATTATTGAAAATGTTGAATCAACTAAATATTTAGGTATATATATATATATATATATATTGATAGTAAACTAAAGCTTGAGGATCACTATGATTACATTATTCCAAAAATTGACAAAAAAACAAATTACTTTTATAGGGCTTCTCATAGTCTTGGTACATATTCCAAGAAAATAGTTTATAATATAATTATTCTACAACATTTAATATATTGTTCAACTATCTTGTTCACTGCCAATGAAGCTATATTATCAAAATTAAGTAATACAAAATAAAGCTATGAGAATAATGTTGAATATAAATGAGTACACCAAATAAAATCCATGTTATAGTGGTTGAATATAAAAAATTTCATATCATATTTAGTACTTATTTTTATATTTAAAATATAAAATCATCTTTTGCCACAACATTTGGAACACTAGAGAATTGAAAAATCATTACCACAATTATTATACAAGAGCAAATATAGATTTTTATTTACAAAATTGCAATAGATTATTTGAATTAAATAAAATAAGTAATGATATAACGTCTACTTGTAATTCAAAGATGTTTAAAAGAAAACAAGAATATTTGTTAGAGATGCAAATTTTGTTTTTTTTTGTAAATATCCGTAATGTTTAGTTTCTTAGAAGAATGTAATTGTAGCAATCTTGCTAAATAAGTCTTAAACAAACAAAGAATAATGTACTACTTGGAGACAAACACGATGCACGCTATGATAGATACGTTCAGTGAAAGACAAATACTAGCGGAAATGGATATAGCAGTAGCAGCAGCTACCTATATTTATATACACTACGAATTATTCAAAAACAAGCGGCGACGACGTCCGAGACGATGGTGGCAAACGCAGTTATATACCAATAGACCAGCACACGGTTGCAACAATTTGATAGTGGAATTGAAATTCCAGAAGTAAGTGGACAGTACACGACGGACTGAATATCTTCTCGCGTTGATTGGAACAAAAATACGAAGACAAGATACAATATGGACAGCTGTCATCATAGTACAAGACTTGCAAGACTGCAAGGGGCGATTTTTGGCGACCGGCGATTTATACAGTAGTTTGCAATACATATGCAACTTCGTTGCGAGCCATTCCTTTGACGTTGCGCTGAAAAAGAGACAGAGTCTGGATCGGGCCGAACGGCGAGCTGTAACGCTAATCGGATTCGTGACGGCCGGCGATCTCTTCACCGACTATACTAGCGCGGCGCGGTTCGTCGCGTGGTTCAGTTTGCAGTGTTATTACATATCTGTACATGGCTTAACACAATATTCTTAGGGTAGAAATACTCGTGCAGGTCAGACTAAATTAAGGTGGATAAATTTAATGCTGAAAAGTGTGTAGTAATATAACGATTTATTGCAGTATCGTCAATCGTTCCTACAACTGTAGGACGCCTTTATATCATCCTTGATTTTCATAGCTCTCTACTGTTCTGCATCAGCGCTCTATTTTGAGGTTATGTTACAAATATCTATTTGCATCAAATTGTTCTTGCTTTTGAGGCCGAAATTTCCTACCAGGGAAACATAGCCTCACAATAGGAGAGCGCTGGCACGGCCCAGTAGACATCTAGAAATACAGATTTTCTAAAGGAGAGAAAAACATATGAAAATCAAGGAGACCATAAAGGCGTCCTACAATTGTAGGAACTACTGACGATACAGCCCTTAGCCTGTGAGAAAATGGATATCATGGATATGTGAATATACTAAACATTTGTCAGAAGAATACGCTTCAAAGTTATGCTATGAACAGTATGTTCTAACAACATGCCTTATTAGCATATCTCTTATAGGATCTAAAACGTACATTCCGGAAATATGAATATCCCTTTCCATGTTTACCGGGTATTATGAGAACGACTTTCATCGTATCATGACTTAGGTTGATTGCAGGTATTTGAAGCAACCTGATAGGACCAAAGAGTGCATGGAGAAAGGTTTCTTCAAGACAGGTGATCTCGGTATGGTCGACGAGGATGGTTGGTTATACGTAAAAGGCAGGATAGACGATTTAATCATAATCGACGATTTCAAGTTCTGCCCCTTAGATCTTGAAGAGGTTATCGTGACACATCCTGCCGTCAAGGAAGCAGTCGTCATCGGAAATGATAAAGAGATCATTGCACTTGTCAAGAAACTCAATAAGGATGTTTATTTGTCAACTAATAAGTTACAATTGTAAGTTTAACTCATTTTATAAGGAATCTAGGAACCAAGAGGCGTATTCAGATGGATGAATTACTGTCGGTCAGTCCCTTTGATCTTGGCATCACAAAATATTTGTCAAATATCTTACCAATTACAGTAGGTGCCCACAACAATTTTTCTCGGGAGAACCAGTACGAACATACGAATATGCTCCTGGATTTTCCTACAAAGCTCCAAGAGGATAGCCTCCAGAACTATATAAAGAACGTGAGTCGGTCAAATCTTAAAAATCCTGACAGAACCTTTATCATTTGAAAAATTGTGTTTTCTTATATCAATTACCATTTATATCCAATAATACTAACTTACTCCTGATGATCCCGTGAGCTCCAAAAGACACAACATACATGTTTTAATTGCTTAATCTACTTTTAACAATTATTGTTAGACTATGCCAGTGCCAGTGACGAAAATAGTACCAAACTTGAGATACCCTTTTGGTTAAAATTCTAATCAAATGTTTTTTCAACATTTGGCAGATCATTTATTGTCGCATAATGGTGTACAACTCAGAATTCTGTACTTTCTCAACAGGATCAATTTTGTTGGAACTTTGCCTTAGTTTAAAAAGTTATTCAGCAGGATTGATATTTTTGCTCCAATAATATCAAAACGTTCATTAAGCACCCTTCTAGGCAAAAACACACTCTCATTTTGACTGAATTGCAATTTTTATAAAACTTTCTTGAGATGAGTAATGTTTATTGTTCTAAACTCACTGAATTATGCATTATAAAATGATCTAAAGGGAAAATGGATGGGATGCCCGTTATTAATTGAGCTTACAGTGTCGTCGATGCTTTTTATTAAATAGGTATTCCGCAATCTGCTATTATTTTCTTCATTTATCATTACCCCTTGTCGAACTTCATTTTAGATAATTGTATTTCTTTCAAGAGGAAAACAACACTTTTCAATGATTTCCAGATCTATTTGGTACAATTTATACAGTCTTCAATTTTTGTATAGCAATATTTTTTCTTCTCATCTCGCAGAACTGCTATACATTTGGTGTATATATTCTAGCCAATCATTTTGACAAACAGTAATAATATTTTTTTAAAACTATGGTATCGTTTTCAATCAGAATCCTTGAATGTCGGTTGTATGCCTATTGTAGGTTTGTTCGTACAGCCTGTTTGATGACAATCAGCAAACTGACAGTCGGTGACAAGTCATGACCTAGTTTACGCAGTTAGCTGTCACTGATACATCCCTGACTGTATTAATTGCATACATGAGAACATTACGAGTTGGCTGAGGGAGGTGAGACCGATTACCGACAGTTAATCCGCTGTTCGTACAGAATCTTCTGACTGTTTGATGACTGTCAAATCACTCAGCAAATAATTTTCCAGTAAATTTTCAGAGGTCGCAATCAAGTACAATGATTATTCGAATGTAAAATTTTTCAGAATGAGGTAAGACAATTTTGAAAAAGCTGGAGGTTCATTTGCTGTAAACGAGAATGATCTAGGATTTTTAGTCCAACTGTCCAAATGTGCCCGAATTTTCCTTTAGAGAGAAAAACATAGACACTTTCTAGGAAAAATAACAGCACCCAAAAATGTCAAGTAGGTTTACTCAGTAATTATCATTCAATTCTCATATATAAAGTATGAACATAAATTCGAAGAAATATGAATCCACACATCGAATGACAAGTTGAAGAAGTAAATATATAGTAAGAATTCTTAATAAGCATCTGCAGTGATTATGTATGAGAAATGTATAAAGTATTGTAAATGACGTTTAATAAAACTCGTATAGTAGGGTTTTTGTTCCCTGTTCCCTTGTCGCCCAGCGTCGAAGTGTATGCACAATCGGTATTTATATATTCTAGCTATGTAAGTCTAACATAAAGCTGATGAAAAATTAACAAAATAGCGAATTCTGGAGATTTTGTGATACATCTTTTTCTCACGGGTGCCCACGGAGAGGGCGTGACTGTTTGTGCTGGGGTGAAAATAATATTTTCCCTATACAGGATATTTAACATAATTCGTGAAAATTTACATATCATCGTCCGGTCTATAGAGGATATTTTAAATTCGACCCTCACCATTGGGATCTCGGAAACTTCATCTGACACGAAGTCACTTAAATAGCTGCAAAGTTGCGTATTCAGATAATCAGCAAAATTTCGCTTAGAAAGTTTTGAAATTGAAAGTACTTCGGGAAAGAGACGAAAAACTCGAAATTTCCAAAAATGGTTTTAATTTTCTCCTGACTTTATTTGTGGTGGGATTTCAAAATAAATTGCACATAAACTCAGCCACATTTTCTCCTACACGAGACGGTACAATTAGAAATTCAATGTGACGTTTCGTCTCTTGTACTCCAGCATCAACTTATTTTTTCTTATAGACGCCATATTGGATTCTCACACACATGAATAGAATCTTTATTCTGATTTAAAAAATGTATGTCTTACATTGACATTGCAAACCCTTAGCTGTTCCAGATGTTCCTAGGTAAGCCTTGAAATTATTAGATTTCATTTGTTTGCATAACAAATAACAACAGAGTTTGGAAGACTATGAATATCTATACAATCAGTAAAATTTTCAGTTCGTATTCAGGTTTCACCATATCTTTTTATTTCCTTTTAACTTTCATCCAACAACAAATTTATGGTCAACTGACAATCACTGAACTTCGGGCTTAAAAAGCCCATTTAAATGTACAAAATTCCAACAAAGTGTCTGTATGAAAAAACAAATTTGACGATGGAATTTGACTACGCCATCTTGCAGACAAGAATAAGTAACAATGACCATATGCAATTTCTTTTGAAATCCCATCTCGAATAGAGTCGGGAAAAATAGAGTGGATAAATCTGGTGAGCGAAACAAACATCTGATAATTTCAAGGCCTACCTAAGAAATTTTAGTTTTCTGAAAGTAATCAATGTTATTGAATGACGTATTATGCATTTTTTTAATCAAAATTAAAAACTCTATTCATCTGTGCCAAAATGCAGTATAGCATTCTTAAGAAATAATAAAGTTGATGCTCGAGGGCAAAAGACGAACCGTCATATAGAAATTATTATTATGCCTACTTGTAGAGGAGAAAACATGGCACTGTTAATGTGGAATTTATTTTTTCAAATCCCAATATAAATAAAGTCAGGAAAAAATCAGAACACGTTTGGGAAAATTAAGTTTTTCCGTTACTCTACGGAAGTACTTTGAATTTGGAAACCTTCTAAGTGACATTTTGTTGACCACCCCATTTAAGCGACTTCGAATCCCTTACAGTTTCCAAGATCCCAATGCTCAGTGCCAAATTAGACACACTCTGTATATGCACACTCTTACTATACTGTATTTACACCCAAGATAGAATGGATGGGTGTATGCCAAAAGCAAGGACGGCGTACAGGGCCGCATTCAGGGATACCTCCGAATGATGGACTACCACCAACGTGTTGTAAAACAAAGATGACAGTATTTAACAGAAACAGAAACTTAACAAATTACCCAAATATACTCAACAACAACAACAGCAACAACCAAGCAAGGTGAATACGAAAACACGAGCACGCAGTGATACACGCGACGGACGGTGGCCTGAGTGCAACTCTGCCTGCCCTGCCCCTGCCCCGCGCATTATTCCGCCAGGCGACCGCTTGAAATTTAATGGCATATTGACCAATAAGAGGCGTTGTCCCCACCTGTTACCGAGAGATCACGCGCTAACTGTTATTATTTATATCTCATCTTGAATTTGGATTCAGTTTAGAAGAAAGAAGGGAAAATACTACAAAGATTTAATAACGTCTTTGAATAATAAAGGGTGTTATACACTAAAAAGCTAAAACGGCTGAACATAACTACAATTATCAAGATCTGCTGACATAGCTATAAGTTTCACAGAGTTCTCAACATGGACAAAAAGAACTTGGACTACGAAAATACATAGAAGTAAGACTTAAGTCGGGTACTCGTAATTACGCATTTTGCAACTTTAACAAAAATTTTCAAAAGATCACAAAAATCGTATTAATTATGGTTCTTCAAAGTTATGTCCTCTATTGTTCGGATTTTTCATACTGTATTCATAATCTTCATGTTGCCATTACCGCGTCAATAAAAAAAATATTGAGCACAAAGCACTTTGGCGCTGGCTGATATTTAAAATGGCATTTCATGAAAATTTCTTCTGCCACTTGCTCATCTGAAAATGTTACAAAAACTTGTTTCTGTTGAATTGTGGCACTGTTTTGTCTACAAAATTAAGGTTTCATTTTTTTACACCGCAGCAGCCGCGCAGGTGAAGCCTACATTCCAAGGCAGCTTTCAGGAGCTTGAAGAAACTTTGTTATTCCCACTTTTGAACTGCCTAAAGTTAGTAGAATTGGAAAAATCTCCTCATGTAAATTGTTACACCCTCGGGACAAAGGAGCGGTCTTATCGGCCAGTTCGGGATGTACGAAGTTCGACACGCTTTCGATGGGAGGCCGAAGTGAGGTAGGCGCATCGCGGGGCGACACTATGGAAGAGAGCTCGGAGGAGCAAAGCCCGTTGGCGTAGCTAGATCGCCTACGGCCCGTTGGTACGAAGGTGTCCTCAGACCGTCCATTAGAGAAAAGTTCATTGAATGCCTCTTGCGAAGCAATTTTGGCCCTCAAGATAGTTCCGACACATTCTGATACCTGTCACTGTCACTGGTTGGCTGGTGCCCTCTGATCTGTCAGAAGATTCTGTAAAAACAACGGATTAGCTGTCGGCAAACAGTCAGAAACCGTACGAACAGGTAACATCTCTCTGATTCTGATTTTGACAGTCACCGACAAGTTACCGGCTACTGTACGAACAAACTATGTATAATCTAAACCAGAATTCAAATGAAACTAGAATACAGAAATGGAAACTTAAATATTAGCTGTACTGGAAGTTTGTGTATTTTTTTTTACTATAAGAATTCGGTTAAAATCAGAATTTTGCAAGTAAAACAGTAGAGTTTGGTTTAAGATTCATAGCAGACAGATGTCCTGAACGTCAGAGGCCAACAAAGATCATTTACATGGAGCACTTTCCTAGGACGTCCATTGGAAACGTTCTGAAACGAATACTGAGAAGGGATTTATTAGAGGTAGGTTAGGTTTCTTGTGAGTGCATCAATAACCATCCTCCACTGCGACTCTTGTGGCTCACACCTATTTATATTTATTTCTCCTGGTAGCTCCGACCTCCTGAGGAAGCCAATCAACTTGCTTAGAGAAATATCCTTCAGGTCTTCTGCTTGGAGTACTACTCCTTCAAGTATGTTGTACCTGATTCTGACAACTGCAGGGCATCTGCACAATACATGCCTGACCGTGTCATCTACCTCGATGCACAGTGTGCACTCAGCGTCTTCCGCCATGCCCAGCCTGCACATCTAATGACGCAATTTGCAATGACCAGTGTAGAGTCCTACCAGAGCTTTCAGGTTATTTCTGTTCAGCGGATGCAAAGAGTCTGTTACCTTCTTTGTCAGGATTGGTATAGTTGCCTTAGCATGGGTTAACCCTGCTAATCCCTCCCAATATTGATGGATGGATCTTTCTGTCCACCTCTGCAGAGATTATTTGTTTAGCCGTATTGTATGCGATCCCAATCACTGTCTCAGGCCGTATGAAGGGTGTGCTAGCCTCACTCTTTGCCAGAGTGTCGGCTGTCTCGTTTCCTTCTAGACCTGTGTCCTGGTATCCATATGAGACGGACTACATTTCCCTCCTCTATGCCACCGAGAGCTTCTTTGCAATTCCACACTAATTTCGATGTCGAGTAGGTGGAGTCAAGTGCTTTAAGTGCGGCATGACTATCTGAAAAAATAATTATAGTTTTGTGCCTCAGTTGTCGTTCTGCGATCATTCTGGCACCCAGTTGTATAGCATATAGCTCTGCCTGGAAGATCGATGCTCAGGCTCCTAGGATAACAGATTTTTTAATATTTAGCTTCGGCACAAAGATATCAGCTCCAACACCTACCTCGGACTTGGAGCTATCTGTGTATGACAGATATCTTTCCTTATCAGGTTAACTTGCTGTTCAAACTCATTCCTGTGTGGAATTGTCGCTGAGTAGGGTTTAGCATAACTTGCTATCTCTGGAATTCTATCAGAAGGCATTCCCAGAATGTGGTGATTTTGTAAGTCCTCCAGCATGTCCGTCTCCTCCATTATACCACTTGCCACATGATATAGTCTATAAGACGTCCTTCTTGCCTCGCCTTCCAAGTATATGTGCAAGGGGGGTAAATTAAGAAGGACCTCCATAGCTGCAGCTGGTGTAGTACGAAAGGCACCGGTGATCAACATACAAGCTTCTCCCTGTATTGCGCTCAGTTTGGCTTGGACGGTTCTTTTGCTGCCTTACCTCACCAAGCTACAGATCCATAGGTTATCTTAGCTCTAATAACCATGGTATAAAGCCAAAACAATTGCTTAGGCTTCATTCACCAGTTCTTTCCACAGACCCTTCGGCAATTCCATAGCGAGGTCCTTGCCTTCTTAAGGACTGCTTCCAGATGCGAATTCCAGTTTAGTGTTTTATCTAAGATTATTCCTAGATATTTCGCCTGTTTTGCAAACTTACATTTTCACCTTTGGATTGTTGTGGGTTTAATCCCATCCAGTTTTCTCTTTCTGGTGAATGGTACGATGACCATTTTTTGCGGTTTGATTAACATTCCTTCCCCTTCACACCAATCCGCTATTGCGGTTAACACCTCCTGGAGTGTTGAGATATGTTCGCCAGATCTCCCTCTGACTAGAACGGCTAGATCGTCTGCATATGCTTGAACCTCGGCCTCCCACAGGCGACGAATGGCAATCAGATTATCTACCAGGGACGATCACAAAAGGGGAGATAAGACCCCTCCCTTTATTAGAGGTAAGCCGTTGCTCATTTTCTTGTGCGTCTGGTCCAGACGTGTCGCCATACTGTTCTTTTTCAGCATCTCCCACAGTAAATCATCTGGAATGCAGTAAGGAAATTGCCCAGCACTTTTGTATACCTTCTTAAGGCACCTATCTTCTCAGATATTTGCAATTTGTCTTATATAGAAAAATTCGCTAAAGTCAATGAATGGAGAAGTTATAACAAGACCGTTTGTGCATACCACTTTATTGAAATTGAACCCGAGAACGGAGTTACGATTATTCGTTCCCCATCCCGGACAAACCTAATATGTTTAGAGTATGTTCGTGCTCGTCCAAATGCAATCCCCCACCCATCATATCACTCAAATATCTCTTCAATTTTCCAGTTCCTTTCACAGTTGTTGGAGGTTACGTCATCTATGCCTTACGAAATAAGTGAGCAAATCGACTAACTCAACCATGTGAGGAGCTGAAACTCCATAGGAAAATCCCACACCAAGCAAACCAATCTTAAACGCAGTGCCCCTGCACACATGAAGTGACTAATAGCGGAGCATTAATTTTAATGTCCATTAGTTGCATTTTCAGGCAGTGCCGTTTTAAACTATGAATATCAATAACAGGCAACCTCGAAATAGTATGCCCACGTCAAGTCGGTTGTCACCCTATAGTTAAGTTACAAGCATAAATTATAAATACTGGAACATTGGTGAAAAAATTTTTGTTGCTAAATAGCATATCGTCGCACGTACAGGCGTAAATGACATATAATCTAAAATCGAGTTACGCCGTAATTTCACATACTTTTTGGTAGTATCTTACTTCACGTAGTGACGTAGCTGTATATCGGTTCGCTGCTAAGAATTAAAATTTTCAGAAAATTTCCTAAGTTATAAAATTCCGAAAACAATTTTCACGTACCGGCTTAAATAGATTTGCGTTACAACTGGTTCTACATCACTCAAGTCTAACAAAAAGAAACAGCAACGTTCAGACTGAAAAATCAGTATGTCATTTTCAATCTCATTTATTGCTGATTTTCGTTTTCTAGCTCTAATGTAAAATTTGTAAAATGTTAGTTACGCCGGTAAGTGCGGAGACCGACGATATGTCTGAGCTAACACAGTTAGTTACACAGTACACAGTTCGCTGCGTGTACTTTCAGTGTAATCCACCAAAAACCGTAAAATGAACTAAAAGTTAACTAAAGAGTGGGGGTTGTGTTAAAGGCTCCTATGAGTACTTCGTAACCCTAAAATATAAATCACGGCCTTTCAAAGTGGCAAATTGAGAGGCGTCAAGTCTTAGCATTTTTGTATATTGATATGCTTATAACTCAACAACGAATATATTATAATATGTTATATCAATCCTCTGTTTTAGCAGGATCTGTCTTGTAATAAAATAAGAGACATGCAGTTAAATAAAAATTTTAACAATATTTTTAATATAAAGATCCACAGACTAATGTCACAGCATCAGTATTTGCTGTGATCCATCAGAATTTATCATGTAATTTGACATTCATTGATCGTATGTACGAGCCCCTTGCTACTTCAGTTGGCCCAACTATTGAAATCTTAGTTTTATTTTCTTATCAAACACAAATAATAAAAATGTAGCAGGGTGTTATAGGTTTAAAATATTAACAATGAATATATATATATATATAGTAAAAAACACCAACTTTATCACTCCCTAATCAAATTTGCAGCATAAAAATAACACATGTTGCAATTACAGCATATTGTTAGACTTATCGCGGTACAGTGTTAGAAATATTGTTAGAAGATACAACGTAACTGGTTCAGTTAATATTAAGCCACGATATGTGGAAAAAAGTAATATCACAAATGCCGACCGAAGAGCATTAAGAAGAATAATCGTGAAAAACAGGCGTGCCAATTATTTACAATTAAGTGCTCTGTGGAGTGACGCTGTTGGAAGGAGAATTTCGAGGTTCACAACTCATAGAGAGGCCCACAAACTGGGATTTAGCACTTGCAAGGTATGTTTTCTTATAAAAAAAAGTGAAGTGAAAACCCTAAAGTAGCACAACTTGTTTATAGGCCAAAGAAAAGCCACTATTAACTCCACTGCAAAAGAAAAATCGGCTTAGATGGGCTAAAGAAAAAAAAGACAAATGCACTCATTAACAATGGTATGAAATACAATGGAGTGGATATGGTCTGAGGCAGTATGTCATCAAAAGGAGTAGGAAAATTTCATTTTATTTATGGAAATATGGATACAAACAAATATTTGGCAATTTTTGAAGAATCGCTTTTACCTGTGATGGAAGAATGTTTGACATCCGCCCAAGATTTTGTGTTTCAGCAAGATGGTGCAGCGTGCCATACCTCAAAAACGGCTATAAAATAGATGGAATAAAATAATGTACCACTTTTGAAATGGGTTTCTAGCCGTCCAGATATGTCACCTATTGAAGCTTTGTGGCACGACATGAAAAAGGTTCTACGACAACATCCTGCTCATCCAATCACCGAACTGAGACAAAAGCTTCGAGGAATATGGGATTGTTTTACAACAAATTTTTGCCAAATCTTGGTTAACACTATGCCCCAAAGAATTGCAGCCGTAATAAAAAATAAAGGTGATGATACCCAATGGTAATCTTTCAATTGTTGCTTTGTTATCTTCGCGCATTTATTCGCACATTGTTTATTTGTTCAGATGTTCTATTAGTTATAGGTCTAAGTGATTTCAAAATTTTTTACGACTACATTGTATCTAAAATGTTTTTGAGAAAATAAATTGTTTTAGAAGTAAATAGTTTCGACATGTTTAGTTGATAAAGGCATATTTTGGTACAAATCTTGAAGTGGGCCAACTGAAGAGGGAAGGGGCTCGTATATCGTGGCCATATCGCAGAATTCACCTTTTCATGAAATGATCTAGCATCCCATGAAATGGTCGCATTTCGTGAAATGGCCAAAACTAAATTTGACCATATCGTCAACGTTTAACGATTTGGTTATATACGATTTATCGTATCATGTCCGTAGAACATTTAATGAAAATGCAGAATATGTTACGCACTCGTTTATTTTTCTTTTTCCATTAATCTAGTTTTCGTTCTCATTTGGTAGCGAGTTATTAGAGTTTTCAATTAAATATCCTACAACTTGATCAAGCATGCTTGACCACATCGTTAAATATTTGATTTATCATAACATTAAACGATTGATCTGGTCAACACATATCATGCACTGGCCAACAGACAATGATACATTTCATGAAATGCAACCATTTCATCAAATGCTCGATGATTTATGGAATGGTCAATTTTACAAGATATCCAGGACGTCAGTTATGACTGATATATAGTGTTACGTGGATGTCCATTTATGCTATATTTCAAAGTTTAATCAAACTAGATGTGGTAACCCAAAACAGTTAGTAGTGGTAAACGTTGTCACTATACGAACCAGGATATTAAAGTGCTCGGCCAATAATTTGATGCTTCTCCACCAAGGTATGTAATGTACATTACATACCTTGGTACATACTATGTAGGATCCATCGCGATGCACCAAGATTAAAGCATCCCACAAACCGGCGCGAAATATTCGCTTTGGCTGCGAAAATTTCGCGGCGATGAATTCGCGATCAGATTAAAACGCGGCGGTTTACGGACAGGCTCAGACTTGTGCGAAGCGAATGCGATTGTTTCAGCGTTTCTATCGCGGCGTATTTCAGTTCGCCTTTGACCGCGTTTTTGACGCCGTTCTTCAAAAATTCGCAATGGCAAAAACGGAATTATTGATAGAAATAGTGAAAAAGTATCCTTGTTTGTATGATCTTTCGAACGATGAATACAGGAATGTGAGAAAGAAAGACAAGATTTGGATGGAAATAGGAAAAGAATTAAATACAAATGGTATGTACCTAATATTTTTTATTAACTTGTTAAATAGTTTACAGTCTACACAAAAGTGAAAACGAACATTCTATATATTGGGCATAGGCATATCAGAATTAAAATAATTTACGAATTTGTCACGAGTAGAAAATGCTAGCCTTGCTGCCCGCCGAGGATCATTTGCTATATCAGTAAAAGCTCCAAGCACGGGTTCTGGGGGATCTAAGAATTGAAAATATTTGTCATCGCCACTTTTACTTCGTAAAAAATTGTCTAAAACACATGCCGTACGTACAATTAGAATCGTAGTATCTACTTTAGTTTCTAATGGCCTGTAAAATATTCGCCATTTTTGAGACAAAATACCAAACGCATTTTCCACGACCCTTCTAGCTCGACAAAGTCTTACATTGTATTTCTCTTTTCTGACGTCTGTTAAAGTCTGCTTATAAGGAAATGGTCTCATAAGGTATGGTTTTAAAGCAAATGCTTCATCACCAATTAAGACGTACGAGCAGATTTCATTTTGCCCAGGGAGAAATCTAGGTGCAGGGACACCCATTAAATTTTGTTCAAATCGTTTTCCCATGTTTGAGGTTTCGAAAATACCCCCATCACTATGTTTTCCGAAACCACCAATATCAACACAAATAAATTTATAGTCCGGGCCAACAATGGCCATAAGTACTATTGAATATTTATGTAAATAGCACCAGTAATTGGAGCCACTGTTGTTAGGTCTCTTGATTGTTACATGTTTACCGTCCACGCTGCCAATGCAATTGGGAAATCTCCATCTATTTTCAAATTCTTCAGCACATTTTTTACATATATTCCCTGTTGGTTCTGGTAAATATATATGTTCCATATGTCTGCATATCGCTTCACAGACTTCGGTTACGATTGCACTAACTGTTGTAAAGCCAACTCGAAAGCTATGCCCAATGGTATAGAAGGTGTCACCAGTGGCAAGGAATCTATAAAAAAAATCGTTTTTAGGTGATGAAGTAAAAAAAAGGTGGAAGAATATCAGAGACACATTTGCAAAATATATAAAATCTACCAAACCAAAGACCGGCCAAGCAGTGGGCAACATAAAGAAATGGCAGTGGGCTGACTACATGGAATTTTTCCGTCCTTTTTTGGCATTTGCCAAAACGTCGTCTAATGTGAAAGATATTGACGTCATACATTATGAGACTGCCGAATTTAACTCAAATATATATCAGGAAAGGGCTGGAAATGTAGAAACCGAAAATTTGGAAGACCGCGGCCATGGTGAAGATGAAAATGCTGATGTAGATGCAGAAGATGCACAGAACGCCTCGGCAACACAGACAGCACCACCTTCTTCATTGAACACTGCAGCAGTGACTACTCCAGGGCACACCTTTCCGCAGACTGCAACTACACCAAAATATAAAACGAGCAGAAAACGCTATGAACCACCATCTTCGTCTGTACAACAGCTCATTAATTATTTTGAAGGTAAAAAACCTAAAAAAAGAGAACGAGGCCATTGATTCACTTTTCTTGGCACATGCACAAACTGTGAAAACACTTCCCTTAAAGCGTCAAGCCCGAATAAAACTAAAAATAGCCGAATTAATAGCGCACGAAGAATTTGAACATATTGAAGAAATGTCTTCAGCGTCTACTCAGAATTCTGCAAGTATGTATGATAGTAGTATGTCGTCCTTCCCAAGCGGCACTGGGTTTACTCCAATAATATACCCAATAGAGGAGGCAAATTCTGCCTCGAATTATTTAGCAACATTTAATCCTAGTGGCAACATGTAGTCCAATTATTATAATAAAATATTTATTTCACGATCCCTGAAGTTTTCGTATTCGATAAGCCTACTAATTTTAATACATATAATTTTTTTACCTGAGTGTAATAGCAAGTCGTTCTTCTGGCGAAATAGCTTCACGATAATTTGTGTCAGATTTTCGTATTTCATCTTTCACCAAGTTCAATATTTCATAGAAACACTCTGGAGTCATTCTAAAATATACGTAAAAGCGCTGTTCATCCAGCCGAAGTTGTTGCATCAAGGTATGGTATTCCCCAAATTTATTTCGTTCCAAGTTAATATCATGTACCCACTTCCTTCGTTTCCTAAACAAAATTGAAAATATTTGTTTTATGTACTTCGTTAAACTTAATACATACCCAACTATCAAATGGCGTTAAATAAACATAACTTACCGTGCATTTTGTTCCTCTTCTAAAGCAAGAAATAGAAGTGCCTCCTCTTCTTCTGAAGACGAGCTCATTGCAAAAGGCAAAAATGAAATGTACGCAACCTGTCGAAACCTTCACGTTCGCGGAGCGAATAAGACGCTTTGGTATGAATAAACAGGCGAAACAGATTGCGAATTTCGCTCTGAATTTCGTTGCGAATACTTCGCCGCGATTATTTCGCGCCGGTTTGTGGGATGCTTTACACTGAACGTCATGCAGGAGCATAAAAAAGATAGAGCAGGTATATAGGAGTTTCATCACGGTTTCTACCCATCTACACATAAACAGCAGCAATAATGTTTTTGAATGTTCCCGCTAGATGAAAATACACTACACAGGTAGCAATGCCAGCATCGAGACAACTACGATACGAAAATCAGCAACTATAGACCGACCTTCTGTCACCTCTACCGTTACTATAGAATCGGATCAAGAGAGCAGATCGGAGACCTGCATAAGCGAGACCTTAACCAACCGATTTATCAGCGATGTCATATCTTCTAACATGCTTAAAGGCATTTTTGGAACCTACCAAGATGATTGAGTACATTAAAAGATGGAAAATAAGCAAAATAAAATAGTGAAAAAGCTTTTGGAATGTTCATTAATAAAAATTTAGATTTATATATAGTTTTAGTTAGTATCTCCTTGTAGGCTATTGGACGTAGAAATCGTACGAAATGGAGTGTCCTAAAAGTTATGGATCAAACAAATGATAGGCGGGTTATTTCCAATCAGAAAATCCGTTATGTCCTTATCCAGTTGCGGATAGTAAGCGCAATGACTGAATCAATTCATGGCAAATCAAAGAATTCACCGTTAGGGACTTAGTTGAAGTTAGAATTAAATATAAGAACGGAAGCGCTGACAGGGCATACCTTGTTGTGATTCAAGGGAACCTCCTCCGTCTAAAGAATTTGGCGACATTGTGGCTTATTGTAGGGATTCTGGACTTGACCTCGTGATTGGGTATGACAGCAATGCACTACACGTTATGTGGGGCAGCTCGAACAACAACAGATGGGGTGAAGAGTCAGCGAATGTCTAGGGACAACGAACCTTGAAGTTCTGAATGGCGGTAGCACCACTTACTACGTCTCTCTGAAACCCTCTCTGGCTGATCACAGGACTATATTGTTTAAGATTAATAACAGCACTGGTCAACAAAATTTTAACTTTGTCGTGCCACACGGACTTTTTTGATATTTTTTACTTTAATTGGTGATTGTAAGAAAAAATAAACAGTCAAAAAAAATGTGCTAGACAAGGATTTTATTCTATTGAGTAATTTAAAAAAATTAAGAAAAAACACACGATCTCGTAAATCAAAAGTTAGTTTTTTTATAAATGACTTAATAATCTAAGATTTTCTTGAATATTTAGCTTCTGGTTGGTACCTTTTAATTGTTCAGCAGTAATCTGCTAACATATTTGGGCTCCATTTGCCCTGGTACCGCTTTTCCATATTAGAAATGTCCTGATGGAACCTCTCATCGTGCTCGTCGCTGACAGCCCCTAAATTGTCAGGAAAAAAATCCAGGTGCGAGTCTAAAAAATGGATCTTAAGTGACATGTTGCAACCCAATGCTTGATATGACAATAATAGCTCGCTAACCAACTCTCTGTAGCTGTCACTCTTGTGGTTACCCAAAAAATTTTAAACAACATTTTTAAAAGCCTTCCATGCAGATGTTTCTAAATCGCTTAATTTTTCTTCAAATCTTGAATCTTTTATTAACTCCCTAATTTGAGGACCAACAAAAATACCCTCTTTTATCTTTGCATCACTTATTTTAGGGAATTTTTCTTTTAGATACAAAAATCCACTCCCATTGCGATCCATTGCCTTCACAAAATTTTTTATTAATCCTAATTTGATATGCAATGGTGGTAGAAGCACATTATTTGGCTGTACAAGGGGTAAATACTTTACGTTTTTTTGCCCAGGAACTAATGATGCACACGTAGGCCATGTTTTTTTTTATATAGTGATTAGTTCTTTCTCGGCTATCCCATTCACATAAAAAGCAGCAAAACTTTGTATAACCCAGCTGAAGTCCAAGTAATAGTGCAACAACTTTAAGATCACCGCAGATTTTGAAGGAATATATACTGTAATTTATTTTTTCAAGTATAAGTTTCATATTTTCATAGGTTTCTTTCATATTGGCAGCATGGGCCAGAGGTACAGACGGAAGCTTATTTCCATTATGCAATAACACTGCTTTTAGACTTGCTTTCGAAGAATCAATGAATAAACGCCACTGAGAGAGATCAAAATCTATGTACAACATTTTCATAATCTCATTTATGTTATTGCAAAACACCAAATCTCCATCCTGAGAAAAATACGTTCTGAAGTGTTGATCACGGTTTCGAAAATAGCTAACTTTTGTATTATGATGTAGCAAATTCCATTCTTTTAGACGTGATTCTAATAGTTCTGACTGCTTTTTTGACAAATTTAAATCCCGAACCAAATCATTTAGGTCCCCGTGAGTTATCAAATATGGCTCGTTTACAATTCCTTTTAACTCAAAGTCATCGTCCTCGTCAACACATTCACCTGAAGTGGACGGTTGTGAATTGTTCTCAACAGACGTAGTTGCAACTGGTGTTAGTTCTGGCAATTTTTTACAATGAGAGACTGGTCTTGTAGCCGAAGATAAGTTAGGGTAAATAACTGTGGTTTTTTTCTTGTAATTTATACCTTTTATGTCTGTGAGACAAAAATAGCAATCTGAAACGTGATCTCGCTGTTCAGTCCATATCATGGGTACAGCAAACGGCATAGGTCGTGCACCTTTCTTCCAGTCAGTTAAATTTTTCACACATGTTATGCAACAGACATGAGGGGCCCAGGATTTGTCTTGATGGGCGACAGAAAAACCAAAACATTGGTGATAACACTCCAACACAAGATTCGTAAAATTTCGTCGTTGTTTTTTGAATGTTAGTTCTCCGCAGACATAACAAAAAGAGTTAGGATCATTATTACACTTCATCGACATATTCACAGGGTTAATAAATCACAAAAAAGTGTTCAAATTCAACAACAAATATTTTTATAAGGATTTACTTGTAAGCGTTTCTGTTAATTTACTGCCGTAGTACTAGTTATGAGTATTACCGTATCACAACAAATATAGTCAACGCCAAACAAAGTGGCGTGCACGTGATCACGATAAAAATTCCCCGACCTAATGCCTAGGTTTCTATCACAAACAATTGCTCTATTGCAGTTTCATATTAATGTGATATATAAATTGTAAAATGGTCATTACTCTCTTATTATGGTTAATAGTCATATAAACATTGTTATTAAAATATCACATTAGTTGCTTTCTGATAAATTTAGACCCATTATGCGAAATAAAATGTTTTGCAAACGCTCCAATCGACATGTAAACGCACTAAACCGATTTCGCAGCGTTGACACATTGTCACCTTGAAACTTATTTAAACTGGGAACTGACATTTGTATTAATTTTGACACTGAATCAATTTGTGGCATTTCAAATCTTTATAAATCCTTTGGCCCCGCATACTGTAAATCAACAACTGTTTGTTTCAAAACAAAATTATTCATTTTACGAGTAGATAAAGGCAATTTTGGTATATAAAGATGCCCAAACAGTTAAATAGTCGGTGTAAGGAACTCGTGGCCTCGTTAATGCACTACTTTGAGCAAGAAAGGGACAACAACGGGCCTTTGTTGCCTTTAAATGCTGTTCAAGAGGTAGGTTACTAATAATTATATGTAATGTATATTAATAATAGTGAAATTTAATTTCATTTTTTGTAGCGTGTTGCTGCTGCTTTAAAAATTAGTTTAAGGACAGTTAGTCGTATTTCCGAGGGTGTGAAAAGTGATGCAAATTTAGAATCGCCCAAGAAAAAGCGGAGTTATATTAAACGTGTAACCAACACAGCGACATTGGATACAAGTGCCATTCGAGAAGTGATCTATAATATGTATCACAAAAGTAAGATCTTATTATAATAACTTATCAGAAATTTGCATTAATTTGTTAACTAAATTATAATGTCATATTACACATGGTTTCAGAAGAACAAGTTACGATACAAACTTTATGGTCTCGATTAAGAGATAGGGCATTATTTGATGGTAGTGCCACGTCTTTAAGGCGGTTGCTTAGAGATCTTGGATTTAAGTGGCTTAAGGACAATCCGCGACGAGGGCTCATGGAACTACCAAGTATAGCTTTGAAAAGGGTGGAATTTCTAAGGCAATACAATCAAGCCAAGGTTGAGGCCTTATACCAGTTTGTCTTCCTCGATGAAACTTGGATATTTCAAAATGGGACCATAGGTCGCTCTTGGCAAAATGGAAACCAAAAAAGCGTGAAAGCTATTAAAACAGATGGTAAAAGGTATGTACTTTTACACAATTTGCACTATAAAATTTAAAACTAATATATTTTAGATACATTATATTACATGCTGGAAATGAAAATGGGTTTATTGAGGGTAGTGAAGCGATATTTTCTTCGAAAACAAAATTGAGCGATTACCATGGAGAGATGAACCAGGACAATTTTTTGAAATGGTTTCAACATCAGTTATTAGAAAAATTGGAGAGTCCATCTATGATTATACTGGATAACGCCCCTTATCACAGCATGATATTGAACAAAGTGCCCAACAATGCATGGACAAAAAAAAATATCCAAGACTGGTTGACAAATCAAAACATACCATTTTTAAACACAATGTTTAAAACAGAGCTATTGAGTATTGTTGCTCGGTACATAATGCTTCTTAATTATATATATTTTGGTCGACAGTTTATATTTCTTTTGTTTATTCCTATTCTTAAAATAACTGCTTTTTTAGAAACAAACCACCTAAAATATACGTGATGGATGAATTGGCGGAACAACATGGGCACAAAGTTCTTCGTCTGCCTCCTTACCATTGTATATTTAACCCTATTGAGTTAATTTGGGGCATAGCAAAAGGTTACTATAACAGACATATTGGTAGAGATGGTAACAGTGAAAAAGACTGTTTGGATATGTGGAACGAGGCTCTACAAACGGTTACCCCAGACATGTGGAAAAATAGTGTTCGACATACTGAGCAAGAAATTTTTAAATGGTATGAAAGAGAACGAATTTTTGATCGACCAGGCATCGAACCTTTAATAATCAACTTTGAGAGTGATGAAGATTCAGATTCAGACAGCGCTGAAGAAAGAAACTCCGACTAACTTTATTGTACAGAAAAAGCTTACACCAGTAGCTTACCTAATTTTAGAATGCATTTTTCTGTATGAATTCTGTAAAATAAATACCATGCATAAAATTTGGAGGACCCCATTTGGATTTTTATTCAGTACCTTTAAGCTATCAATTAAATATGGTAGTTTCATAGTGTCATCTGATCAATAATTGTCATACTTAATGATTATGCAAGTACAGATCTATAATTTTATTATACTATTATTTTTTTCTCATTTGAGGTTAATATTGCTTATAAACCTAGATATGTAAATAATAAATTTTATTATTTTACAAAAAGTTTGGCAACAATGTAAATTTTTCAACACACCCACCTTGATGACGTGCACGCCACTTTGT